TCAAGTTAGAGGGTGACTGCATTCAATTTCAATTTCATTCCAATTCATTTTTCACCGGTAGTTTCAACCGCTCTTATCTATGGAATTTTAGGGTAGTTCCAGTACCTCTCGGATCCATTAGCAAATAGGTACATCTTGATTCACATTACATTGGAACTTCTCGGTAGGTGATGGGATGAACACGAAACCCCCTCTTATTAGTAAGAAATCATTACTTTTTTTATTTCATCGCGTTTTTTATGTTGAAAAAGACATACCTGAACAATCAAGGTGACGATGCAGTGAATTTTTGGATTTCAGGTCAGTCTGATTATATTATCAAGTTGATCAATGAGATGAGAGCACAAGTGGCGGCAGGTAACATCTCCACATTGTATGGGCCACTACCAAGTTCCCTGCATATGTTCCAATTGGTACGTCACCAGACTTTTCCTTCTCTATATTTCAAGGCAATGTATTAACTCACTTCATTATATGTAGAGTCGGATTTCTAGTCTAGTAGCATGCTGTCGCGTTATCTGATATTTGGGCCATAGACTAGGTTTTTTCGTGTTGAAGGCGATCCTCTGACTGGGTGGTATCCCTTGCCGAAAAGACCTTAATAGCGGTCATGCACAATAATTTTCCTACAACGCTTAAGCCAAGGACCACTCTGCTGCCGTAACAGAAACGAAAATTCGGTACGGCACTCGGCTCTTACAGTAAAATGGCCCGGTATAAGCCCATTTTAATACGCAAATTTCCACCCGTCACATATACGGTGCGTCGAAAAGGGGCCTTTGGCAAGGACACGGGGGTCGATGGTGGTTAAGCCAGGGGGTTACGGTAAGAGCCGAGTGCCTGACTGGCTGCTTTCATAGTTCGCCGGCAAGCCCGCGAGCAAGCGAGCGCGCTGGCCGGTTGACTACTTGGCCGACGGTATCGATCAAGATTCAGTTGTAAACAAGGTGCAAGTGTCGCCCCCGGCCGGTGGACTATGAGAGCAGTCACCAAATTTTCGTTTCTGTGCTGCCGTGCCCATGAATCTGGATATGGAGAAACCGGCGCGAACCCGGGCGAAAGTATTCACGATATCCCGGTGGGAAGTCTAGGGCATCTTTATTTATTTATTTATTTATTTATTTATTCATTTATTTGTTTATTCACACGTCACAGCGAAATGTCCAACCTCAAAATGGAGTGGTAAGGAGGCAACGTAGCTCCTTAAAAACGAGGGAGAGCAAGTGGAACTCAAAAAATTGGAGAATAGAAGTGGCTCCGTCCCTCATGGCTGGAGCCCCTTGCGCACGCTATCGCATGCGCTAGGGGCTCTAGCCATGAGGGACGGAGCCACATGAGCTTGTAATTTTCATTATAGACCTTTATCATCTGAGCCTCCTCCCCAACACTTCGGTAGCGGCCATCATTATTTTCGGGGTGTGAAATGGGGTTGAGTGTGGCCTTGAAGAGTACTCCGATGTATCCAAACCGAATACCTCT